TTTAATGGAGTTGCTGAGAGTGGATGAGAGGAATTAGGTTGATCAGTAATTCTAAATTGCCCATAGGTGTAAATAGTTGTCTGTTTCTCTGTGTTAGCCCTGCAACAGACTGGCGATCTGTCCAGGGTGTACCCTGCCTCTCACCCAGTGGTAGCTGGGATTGGCTCCAGCCCCTCCTGATGACCCTGATGAGGATAAGGAGAAGAAAATGGATGAATGGACAGTGTGAGAGAAAGTTAAAATAAAAATTCAATAATGTGGGTGACAAAACTCATAATAATAAAACAAGGAAATAAATCAGCATATATGCAATTTAAAAAAGATAAACACACCCTTGCATCATTAACTTGAGGCATTAAGGACTACAAGCAGACCAACTAAAAGGTAATTTGGCTGAAGTCCTAGTCATATGGGACGTCAAAATAAAACAGACTACAGCAGCTTACAAAGTGTTCCTTTTTAAAATCCATGTGCAAACCAAGAAACTGGGAAAGCTACATGTAACTGTCAGTGGTGTTAGATGCCTCAATCTGCTAAAGGATGCAATATATTAGAGATGGAAGAGATAGAGAAGAAATAGGGGAGGCATGATTAGATAACTATCACCAGCTGCGCCAGCCAGCCTCCCCTGGCATTACTCATGAACCCACTGCACCTCTCCTGCAGCTGATCCACAGACCACACCCCACCATCATAATATGGTACTTTAATTTAATGCCACCTTTTCAACAAATGCAACCAAAGTTTAGGATCGTGCTCCAGTTCTCTTGTTTTTCATGCTGCAGTTATCTGATCTTTTCGTTAGTCAGAAGTCCAGAATTTGTTTATTTAACTAGCATTGATGCTAGTGAGTTAGAAGCTCTTTTGTGAGCATCCTTTTTTGTAAACGTGTACCTTTTGATATGCAAGACAGTATTTCCTGATTTCTTTCTTTTTTCCTTTACGGTCTTTTTGCTTACCCTTTTCCCGTCAGATTTAAATTAAATAAGGATTGATTACTTGTGATAAGCAGCTGTCGGTTGTCTGATAAAATCATCGCTCTTGATTAGCTGAAATGGCTTGTCTAAGCACAACATCAAGGGCCTATTTGTACTGTCACATCCAAATATTACACCATGTCTTCAGAGGACATCTGTGATGTGTCTGTCATGGAGAACAGAATCATGAACTGGAGGGATGAACCCTGGAGAGAGATCAGACTGAAACGACTAAGCAGAGCACACTGAACTCAGCAGGGAAAGACTCCCCAAGTTTCACCTCCAGACAGGATGAGACGTAGTTGGCAGGCAAGAAATGGAGCAAAACCTTTGAATCACTTTGAGGAACATTTGAACAGTTTTTACGCTCAGGTTTGAAGCTGGTTTTAGATATAATCATGAATATAAAATGCTGTACTATTTTAATATTGTGTTACTACTGAAAGGAAATGAGTACTATTATTCTTTGTTACCCTTCTTAACAAGAGAGTGCAGAACAACAGGTGTAACTGGTCCTCAGGTATTCATACATTGAAGCATCTTTGTATATATCTGTGCCCAAGACATTGCTATTGTTTAGAATATGCAATATATCAAACTACTACAATACTACTCTTTCATAATTTATAACTTCATAAAAAAGTTGCATATTTTTCTAAAGCAATTGGAGTCTGCATCAAATTTTAATGGCTTCATCTATTGCTCATGCTCTACCTCCATCAAGTTTCAGGAAATTTAGCTAAGCATTTTTTCCCCAATCTTATCTTGCTGAAAGACAAAGAGAAAGATAAACATACAAAAACAGAAGAAAATGACTTTTCTGTGACGGTTCTGGGAATCGACTCTGTATTTGTAAAACATTTGTTATTAACAAGATTTAAATGCAAAGCGGGTGTTCTTATCAGTTTCTCAACACAAGAGGGAATGTTTCATTCTCACAAATGTTATCACAAAGTAAAAAAAGACTCTACAGAGGTAGCAGTAGGAGGTGTGGTATTTCATCAACAAGAACCACACTATCATAATGAAAATAACAGATAAATAATAATAACTAGCTAAGCCAAAGGCTGCATTTTGAAGTAGGCCTCAGTGGGGCCTGGCATCTGTGAGAGAGGATGACAAATAAAGAATGAGGAAGGGAAGAGCAAGAACGAACATATATGCCAGCATTTACATGCCTATGATGGGAAGAGGAGTGTTTCAAGTGTGAACCTGCTTCTCAACTTCATATGAAACAATGTGAATAAACAACTGTCAACAATATAGTGTGACATAACAGACATAAATGGCACAAGATGCAAGTTATTCTCTGAGAAGTTTGTTATAAAACAGCATTTGTATGGTGCAGCACAGGACAACACTAAGCAGTGACCTGCATAAAGAGCCTTAGGCAACTGTCAGAGTGTCAGACTTTACCTTGTAACCACTGAGCTGCTGTGCAGAAATTTGGCAATGAAAAACATAAAATGTAACAGCCTGTCAGTAAAACCACAAGCCATGATGGTGATGAAACGGTGAACAAAATATTAATTATACCTATTATCTTGATGATAATGTTCCTTCATATAAGGGAATCATGATTTCACTACACACAATAGTTTTATTTTCCCTCTGTGCGTGCAGAAGTCTGGTGAATTACATTTATGTCTAGGAAACATTTTTAAGTAAAACCGGGGAATGACAAAAATCCTAAAAACTTTTTTGTGCCATGTAAAATAAATCCGTTTGCATGACTGGTTCGTCTTTCATGTGGGATGTTTTACAGGGTGAAAAAAGTTAGAACTACTACTACTGAAATGAAGATCACAAGCACACATACACATGCACAGGGCTACATCAGGGTTTTTAAAAACAGTAATGTCCTTGACACAGAGCTGAATACAGTCACTATTAAGTAAAAAAGTGAGGATAGTTTATTGTAACGTAACCAGGACGTAATGATAAAATCAAATGATTAGAATAGTAATAATTAAAGGTAAGAAAAAATAATGAGTCTGTAGTATAAAAATGTTGCCATTTCCAAAAACATAAGGATATGCATGTGTTGAGCAAGTGAGGGATGAAATCACTATCTGACCAATCAGATCTTTGGATATAGTGCCACAATTACTGCATTATCCCTCAGACCTCTTAACGTCCCTCTTAGACCTCTATATGCAGAAAACTATTTACCAGATTAGTGCAAATGCAAATGCTAGGGATGCAAGGGGTGCACTGGTACTTACACCCTCACTCAACATGAAATAAGCACACTAAAGTGAATTAAGGGTGGCCTGGTGGTATTAAGTGTCATATTTTAGTTCTAAATCAAATTAAAAAAATAAAGAAAAACATATAGATGTGGATATTTAATGCAAATGCACATAAAGTATGTGTGCAAAATGATCAAAAAAGTTTGTAATTCAATCCATAAAATGCACAATACCTGATTTCTGTTTCAAGTTAATCTCTCTGTGGACCTCTACAGCACTACCACCATACCTGCTTTATTTGGATCCTTGGAAACATTTTCTTTTTTTCCTTATGACTAGTTTCAGCCATCATGTCAAGGATCATCACTGATGTCGAGAGCTTGGTCACCATGTGTGGGCCAGAGGGCAAATAACAGTCTTCTGTGTAAGGGCCCAAAGGCAACATCAGGTAAGCAGGATTCTTGTTATTTTCTGTAACATTCACAGGGCTATACAACATGTGTGTGTGTGTGTGAGAGGAAACTTAGCGCAAACAACCTGAATTGTGACATAAGACCTCATGTCTTTGTAGCTCACCACGCACTGAAAAGGCAGGAGGTTTTTTGCTATTTTTTTCTGTAAAACACAAGGAGAACCGCATATGCACAAAGACCAAAATCTGCACGCAAATGATTGAGTGCAGAGAAGATGAAAGAAAGAGGAGTCTGGTGTTACACGACAATACATGCAGCACCTTTTTTGCCCAAAGCTCAACATTTAGCCACCGAGATCGCATTATCTAGCATCTAACAATATTACCTGCACACACAATTTACAATCCCTTTGCACCAACTTGGATTGAATTATTCTTCTATTATTCATTTCAGCCTATTTCTTGGGTGCACTATTGTGTTTGTGGGTGTTTTCAGGCAAACATAAAAACAAACATCTTAGAAAATCAAAGTTTTTTCTTTTCAATTTCTTAAAAATGAGACAGACCTGAGTTTTTAGATATATAAATTTACATTACATTATGGCCTCAGCCCAGCAACCAGACCCTAAACTTCAATAAGTAGTAAAGGCAGAATGATTTGCAGCATTTTAGCTTTCATTTCTAGCTTTACATGTTTCTACAGTAATATCACCTTGGTGATTGTGTTTATTTTGTGTTCACATGTAAAAACTAAAACAAAGAACAAAGATTGATGTGGGTCCTCAGGGATTTGTGTTGGTGTATTGAACTGTAGGTTTATATTGTTAACTGGTAATTGCGTGACAATATATTTCAGGTCATTTTACAAGTAATGTGAAAGTAATGATTAGTGTAATGAATTACTTTTCTATTATTATAATTTTAATATTATTTTTATTTAATTTTTATTATAATTTCCACTGAGCTCACTGCATGATGTTTGGTATTGTTAGATTATCTCCGGCAAGTTTGGACTTAATCTTCTCATCCTTTCACAGTACGATACAGGTAAAAAGTTGAAGGATTTTGTGCACATATTTAATTAAATTTGCAGTTCATTTAAAATCTTTTTTTGAATGCAGTGTCAGCACCTTATACACAGCAGTGCAGGGTGGTGCTTTTTATACTGTGGCTGCTGGTATAAATGGTTCATTTTTCATTGCATTCACTGTCTCTTATTAACCCCGATTCTTTTGTCCCCGTGATAGAACAGAGAAACCCGACTCATAGTGTGTTAAAACATTTATATTTCTTTTTATTCAATCATCTTCCGGAAGAGAGAGACCCCTGCACATCCCAAATGCCAGTTGCAGGATCTCTAACATTAGAATCATAAACTGTGCCTCATATAGGTTTTATTTTGGTACTTTACACGTCACACAGTTTCAAACATTGCTTATATGGCAAAGTTCCTCTTTTCTGTGTCTTATCTATTAATATGCCTGTGCACTTAAACTGGCTGAGTACTTTGTGAGTCAAAAGTGGCCTTGCTCTACAAGCCTTCATTATTAAAGTACATAAAACAATATAATAGGAAAATAAGGATACTAAGGATATTGATTTCATGACACTCTTCAACAATGAGACCTCTGGCCACGGTCCACTAATATGGTGTTTATAACACCACCCAGTTCTCCTGCTTTTTTTGTGATTGTCCAGTAAAAGTGTTGAATTATCATACTATTACAAAAGACATACATATGAAATTAATGCATATTGAATAGAATTTAAATGTTATTATAAAAAGCAAAACTTCTTGCTTTGATCATGCCTCCAGTACACAATTAGTAAAAAAAACCAACAACCCCAACATAGATCATTGAAATGGAAAACAGTAACACAATTTGTTATATGTATAAAAAGATAACATATTTGTCAAAATTATTTCAACACTGAGCATTTTAAAAAATATGCTGTAAAATTTTACGTCAGTAATGCAGCACTCACTATACAATAAAAAGATCCAAGAAACAGTGCAGTTACGCCAAAAAATTATCAGACAAATAGAAAAAACAAAGAAAAAGTGTAGAAAAGTAGAAATTCTTAAAAAAAAGACTTGATTTTAGATATATACATTTACATTGCAACACATAGACAGTAAAGTTTTTGTACTTTTTCAGAAAATTAAAATTTAAACCTTTGACTTAAACATAAAATCCAACTTCAGATATTGATTTTTAAAATCTTGTAAGAATTCAGAATTCTTGCCTATTGACACAACTCTTGTTTGTTTTCTATCAGCACTCTTCCAACTGTCTGAAACTCAAACGCATACCAGTTCAGCACATTGCCTGCTGTGAAGCTCAGATTATTCGAGTAGTTCTGGATCTCACAGGAGGAAAGGGTGTGGTCCCACATGTGGACATCGGACATCATGCCAACAAAGGACTGATTGATGTCAAATCCCCCACCATGGGTATCCTGTTCCTGAGAAATGCCAAAGAGTTTAATTAGAAGATGTATTGTGTTCCTCTGGTGGATCACTAGCGATGACCTTTCACAAGACATTCATGTAAACAATTCCCAGATTTTTAATCAGTCTGATATCCATTGTGAAGTGGCAGATCAGATAGTGTCAAATGTGCTAGTAAGCTGTAAGCTCAATTCATTCTAAGGAATGGGTCACAAAATGCAATCAACAAATTTGTGAACACACGTTTGGCCAACAGTGTAGTTCATCAAATTGTTTCTATGCTTTTTGTCCAGTAGTCATAAAACAATATCTACTCATCTGGATTCAAGGAACAAACAGTGCTTCCAATTTGATAAAGCATCATTCAGTTAATATCTAGAGGTGTGAGTTGGTTGCACAAGTCAAAGTACAAATCACTCATAACGCACTTAAGAGAATGCAATACGTGTCACTCTGGCAGCACAGCTATTTTGTTATATTTTCATATTTTTGATATACCTAACTGTATGGTCTCAAGCAAAATCATCTACATTTAGACATCAGTCAAGCTGCAATCACTGGCTAAAAACAGTTTGGTGATATCACTGACACATCTTTAAATTGTATGATCTAATAAACTTTGAGTATTTCATTTATGTGTTTTAGTATTCAAATGTATAATTTCTTCTAGCCCCAGAGTATATTATACATATATTGGAGACAGTGTAGTACAGAAATGTCTGGAGTCTCTAGGATCATAGCAAATGGCAACTGTAAGAAATATTAAATTTGGTCACTGGGAAAATGTGAAAAAAAAGTTTAGTGTAAAATACATCAAACACTTTTTTCAGCACTTCCAGATTACAGGTAAAACTCTTGAAAACATGTAGCCCACAAAACATACTCTAAATATAAAGGCTCTTATGCCGCAATGAACCACATGTCCATGAACATGAACAAATGGATCAAAATTTGAATTTGTATTATATTTGTCAGTGTCTGTTTGTTTGAAGATAAAGTAAAAGTTTGCCACGTGTGGTGCTTTGTAAAGGTACCTGTCCTAAGACAATGATAATGGGTCCATTGATGTTGGATCCAGAGCTGGTGAATTTTCTACTTGAGGGGACTCCATCGACCCACAGCTGCATGAGTCCAGAAGTAGCGTCCCAAGTGGAACAAATAGAATGCCATGTGTTCAACTTGTAGGCAATCCCTTCAACTGTATTCAACTTGCCCCTGGCCCACAGGTCAAATAAGCCATTTGCAGCTTTCTTGAATATCAGGAAGTTATTGTCAGCAGAGGGTGTAGCCAGAGAGAACAAGGAATGGTCTCTATTGAGGTCAGTAAAGGACCTAAAAGCAGTGAAAAATGGATTTAATAGTCTGATATGCAGTAGTTACATGTTTCTTTATTTAATTCAGTTTGTTTATTTAAAAATACCTGAAACACACGGTTATAGCCTTCAGATCGTTTCCTGATGTAGTCATCCTCACATGAGCTGTATTGGTTTGTTGTGGGAAGGTGAATATTTTATTTGCCAGATCTTTAAAAAAATAGAGAAACATATGAATATTGCAAATAGAAAAGGAAGTAATAAGCAGCATACTATAATAAAAATGAATTAATAAAAAAATATTTGAGAAAATTTAAAATCAAAACAGAAGAATGATTTTTGTTGAAGCTGTTTGTCTTTACGGCAAAGTTTGCCCTCCACAGAGCATCAGCACTAGTGCAGCTAATGCTTCACAATACAACAACACTTCACATTCACATTAAATATTAACTATAGGAATTCTGTTCCTGAGAAATGGCCGAGAGATGAATTAGCAGGTGTATTGCACTGTTATGTATTTTTTCACTCTTATGTTTTTATGACAGATGACAAAAAGTCTCAGAGAAGAATAATAAGCTTTTTTGGAAAACATATTGCAGACATGCAATGATTTATGCAATATGATTTTTCATTGATGCAATATTTTATCATTACCAATGCACATTCAAATTAAATGTATACAAATTTAATTGGTAGTGAAAATGTTAAATGCAACCTTTAAAAGCTTGAATTTTCCCTCCATAATACCTGCCCATATCTGTGTGCCCTGAAACATTCTAGCTGGAAACTCAGATTATTGCATATTTATTTTTGCCATCGTTTGATTATTTCTGACAGATTTGGAATTCATCCCTGCCTCTAACACTAAGTATCAAATGTATTTTAAAAAAACAATTACAATAATAGGTATAGAATTTGAAAGGAAGGAAGATTGGTTTAGCCATAAGTTTTGCCAAGTGAACGTATGGTGTGGTGTTTAAACGTATTCTGTCTCTTGTCATCGTAAGCTGTGTGGCAGGCAGTGTATGGACGCAAATGCAGGACTGAGATGGAGTATTAAACCTAAAGGTGGCAGTTTTTATTCACTGGCAGAAAAGGAACTTAGAAACACAATACTTGAGCACTAGAAAATAAAACCAAAACTCAAACTAGGAAGGATGATCTAAACTGTGAGTTCATGACGAGACCAAGGGAAGCGAAATTAGAAACACTAACATGAGATAGGACCTTCAAAGTAAAACAGGAAGCACACGACAGGCACAGACTTGACACTGAGCTAAACCTACACTGAACACGAGGACACAGGAACAAAACATAAGAACCAGAATTTACATAACATAGAAGAACTTGAGAGCTAGAAATACAAAACTAGAAGTCATAAGCCACCATGATGAAATCCAAGACCAAAAATAATAATACAAAAAACTGAAACACCGGGTCACTGACCCAGGACTGTGACATCTATTCCTGCTTTCCTTTTGAATAAGGATGAAGGAGTTGGTATATATCTAAAATGGTAAACATGGACACCTCTAATGTTAGTATTTATCACCACAGTAGACTACACACTCTAAGTCTAATACACCTTCATTGTTATTTATTTTGGTTGCATATGTTAAATACTTAATAATTAAGATAAATAAAAAAATAAAAGGTACTTTGAGGGATTGCAGTGCACGATGTCAGCATCACCAGTAGAAGCACCAGCAGCATCTACAAAGACATACAAACATACCAATTCACATTGTTTATTGGTACTGGTGATACAAACAAATCTGATGTCACTTTCATCATCTGCACCACAATACAGGTAAAAAACGGAAGGATTTCTGCACATGCAATACATTTAGTTTCAATATGAAAATTATATCTTACCTTGGATACAGTGTCAGGATAGAGCCTTCTATACTCTGGGTCCTTTTGTGAATGGTTTGTTTTTTAACAGTGCAGAATGGTTCCTTTTATACCATGGCTGCTGCTGTAAATGGTAAAATTTTTTATGGGAGTCATTGTTTCTGTAAATTTCCATGTCCCTACTTCCCGCACGTGTGTTTACAACTTACGGGATTAGGAATCTGAAAACTTCCCCTTCACGCCTACAACGAAGTTTGAATCAACAGTCACTAACATTCATGTCTTTGGGTTATAGAAATAAGTTAGAGTATGCGGAGTAGAGTTTGTTTTGACAATCTTGTCAATCATAAGTGACACAAAAGTGTGCATTTCATTCTTACAAATGAAACAGAGAAGAAAAAGGGGTACGTATCAATACATTACACACAAAGCCCAGCTTTGAAAACTCCAAAATATGTAATAAAAAATGCAATATACGCTTTAAAACCATTTTTATTGTGTAACATATTAATAGTATAGATTGGAAAAATTCTTTACATTGGGCATAAAATTGGTATTAACAGGTTTGCTTGTCTTCTATCAACACTCTTCCTGTTATCTGAAAATCCAGAGCATTCCAGTTCAGCACATTCCCCAGAGAGAAGCTCAGCTCATCTGAGTAGTTCTGGATCTCACAAGAAGACATGGTGTAGTCCCACATGTGGACATCAGATATCATGCCAATAAAAGACTGATTAATATCAAATCCTCCACCATAGGAATCCTGTTCCTGAGAAATGCCAAAGAGTTGAATTAACAGTTATATTGCACTGTTTCTGACTGACACAATGTCACAAATAAGGAGAATGAGAATATTTGGAAAACATAAATAAATAAATGCTGTGAAATTTAGAAACATTTTAATTATATAACATAATAATAGTATTGTTTGTCCAAGATACAGTGGCTTGGCTTGTGAACTTTTCCACTTTTTGTCACATTGTCACTCTATTTAGTCATTAGCACTTATCAGGCAATGTCTATGGCCAACTGACTGCACTCAGACCAAAGGGGGCTGAATAATTACGCGACAAACACGTGTGAGCTGTGTTTGTCGTTTGGAATCATGTATGATTTTCGTTCCACTTCTCACGTGTACACCACTTTGTATTGGTCTTTCACGTGGAATTCCAATAAAATTGATTCATGTTTGTGGCTGTAATGTGACAACATGTGGGAAAGTTCAAGGGGGCCGAATACTTTTGCAAGCCACTGTAAGTAGTCTGAGTCACCTTAGCATAGTACATAAAATGGAAATGGGGAAATCTAAAGCAATGCTGATCCCAAAAATACTAAAACCAAACCAGGAAAAAATGCTTCACTGGAAGTTTGGAGCTGCACTCCTTATGGATATCAGCACAGGTTCCAGACAAGTATTGTCAGGTCTTATACTCTTTTTGTTAAATATAAAATTGTGGTTTTCACTTTAATTCATGTCTTTAATATAAAGTGAACTTGAAGCACTAGTATGTTGGTTACAGATCCAGAGCTTCAGCCTGTTTCCCCATCGCTCTGTGCTAAGCTAACATAATTAACCTCTCAGACCAAATCACTGTACTTTATCTAATATAGCAACTGTGCACCAGTCACAGTGGTGTTTGAACTGTACCTGTCCTAAAACAATAGACATGGGTTCAGTGATGTTGGATCCAAAGCTGACGAATTTCCTGCTGGAAGGCTTTCCATTTACCCACAGCTGAATTATTCCAGAGGTAGCATCCCAAGTGGAACAAATCGCATTCCACGTGTTCAGCTTGTAGTCTTGCAATGCAAATTTAGCATTTTTGTCCCTGGCCCACAGATCAAACAAATCACTTTCATCTAGTTTGAATATCAGAAAGTCATTGGAAGCAAGCGATGTTGCCAAAGAGAAAATAGGGTGGCCTCTTCTGAGGTCTGTAAAGGATCTGTAAGCAATGACAAGACACTGACATACATGATGATGCTTATGATTATGATGATGATGATGATTATTACTATTTGATTTTGCATATTCAACATCACCTGAGACAGACAGTTACAGCACTTAAATCTTGTTTTGTTGTTAACAGCTTCGTGTGAGCTGTGTTTGTCGCTTCTGGGAAGGTGAACATTTTACTTTCCAGGTCTTAAAGGAATTAGAGAAATAAATTAATAACATGATCAGTAACTTTCCGTGATGCTGATAACCAGACCAGATTTCTCGCACCTAGTGTTTAATGACTTAATACATAAATTTACTTTGAGGAGTGGCAGCACATGTTGTCAGCGTCACCAGTAAAAGCAGCAGCGCCATCTGATACAAAGAAAATACAATAATTCAAAACAAACATTGCTCAAATGTTCACCTTTCAACTTTAGTATGGAAATAAGGTGTCTGTCATTTAAGGCAACCTGCTACAATATATAATGCAGGCAGAAAAGTTTTTAAACTTTTGTGTGGAAAGCATTAATTTAATTTGCCATGTGTATCACGTCTTACCTTGAATTCAGTCTCAGGAGGTTGTGTTGCATGAGGCCAGCGAGGGAGTGAGTTTTATAGTGGCAGTGTTTGTTAGTGAAAATAGGTCTTCTTCATTGAGGTCATTGACTCAGGGTTTGTTCTACCCTTAGATCAAGAACAAAGCACATTTTGTAATATTACCTCTGTAAACAACCTCTGGATTTTAAATCAAACAATCAACATGACTGGAGTACAGACTTTGATACAAGGGTTTTTTCCAAAGTGTTGCATTAACTTTGTAGGAATTTTAACCATTCTGATTAATTGCCCCCCAATTTTAACTTAAAACTAACAGGACACTTGACTGAAAGGCAATTTCATAGCAATGTGAGCTCTGTTGGTTTGGTATTTCATGAAAAATGAAGCAGATACAAGATCTGAAGTTGATTCAAATTGTGCCTTTTTTTGTGCATCTCCAGACCATCATCAGGCTGAAAAACTCAAATTAACCTAGTGTGCCGCATTAACAGAAAGAAGAAAAGTATGGAAAAGGAGAGAAACAGCTCACGATCTGAAGCATACAGTACCATATCATCCGTCAAACATTGTTGAGGTAATGTAATGGCATTGGGATGTATGGCTTCCGGTGGAACCAGGTCACTAGTAATTATTGATGATGTGCCTGCTGATAGAAACAGCAAGATGTTTCTTGCTATATTCTTTGCTCAGATTCAAACAAATGCTACAAACCTGCAGAGAAAATGGATAACGACCCACTGCATACTGGCATAAGCAACATATTCCAATGGGATATTTTTCAACGGCCAAGCCACTCACCTGATCTCAACGCAACTACTTTCCAGGTACTGAAGATAAATGATGGCAGAGCATCTTAAGGCACAAAATGCAGCATATGGTCGTATTCATGCGTCCTAGACCTCAGGCAGTCATCGAGTGCAAATCGAGGATCAATGTTAGTCAGCTTGGTGAATTTGAGTTAAATAGTTATTTTCCTTTGGATAAGTGGAATAGAATGAATGGATGGAAAGTTGCTTTTCTTTCAGCTTCAGACCAGACTCAATCCCATTCTTTGTTAGCTAGATGCTAATTTTGCTTGCCTGGTGTTTGGTCATGAGTAGGTAGTGTTGAGTGGTTTTATTTCGTTTTGTTTTGTTTCCCTTTTGTGAAATGGATGAATTTACATTTTGTAAACAGTAATGACGCAGTGCAGCGATGTAACAGTGTTATTACAAATAGTTTGACTAAGACATGATACCGGCATATGTGTGGTTCAGGTGCTGTGGTATCACCTACTTTATAATTGCTTCCTTAAAGGCCTCAAACTCTTACAGTGAATTACAAAAAGAGAAAGCGTTTCAGAAAGAGCTTTAGCACACTTAAGCAAATGTATAATTAATGTTAGTCAATTCTCTAAAATCCTATCAAAGAATTAAGTGTTGTACTTGGACTTGTTTTGTTACTACTGGGGAGGCCTGGGCAGGAGATCCCCGGACCAGCATCCAAAACCAGTAATTTAATGTTCTCATTAGGCTGAAAGTCTCAAATTTTCTCAACCAATTTTAAATGGAAGAACAACTTGCTACCACAGAACAGCAGACCCGTAACACTTAATAGACATTTTGATATACCATGTCATTTACTCATTGAATACTATATAGTTTGAATTTTTGTGAAGGAAAAAAGATGTTAAATGTAAAATCCATCAGTTTACTGCACTCGGTGACCTTTTGCGCTCGACTGCACTAGGATTTATAAAAGCTATAGTAAAAATAACGTATTACGATGTCATTCTAACATCTGAAACATGTGGGTCACATTTTCAAGTCTCTGAAAGGATGCTTCACATGACATTGTGTATTTACTGCTCTAATTATAATGGCTGAGAAGAGGTATCTTCTCCAATGAAAAGTGAATTCCATAGTCCTCTTTCTATGTTACCATAAAGCTTGGGAGTCTGAGTTAGTCAGATTAAATTGATATTTTCTAAAGTTCTTTTCCCTCCTTTGTATGACCATAGACAGTGAGTCCAGTAACACAGAGGCATTTTGTACAAAAGTGCACCATTGAAAGATCCTGTTATTTTGTCTAACTGAGATCTCTTTATGGCCACTATGGGCAAGAGGAAGCAGCTGAAGTAGCAATATTACTTTAAAACAATATTATTTTATATCATTGAAATGAGCATTATCTACCCTGTGAAACAAAAGTAGTTCAGTGTACTTTTGCTTCAGTGAGGACTTGGCTGTCATTTTTTCCCTCTTTTCTAGACACACAAATGAGTTGTGTTGTTGTCATATCTCAGTCTAAAACAGTCTATAGAAGTATATGATAGAAGCATCTTTAATAGTTAGATGCATGTCTTCTCTGAAACATTAAACATTTTAAAAGCTGCTCTACCAAAGATATGAATCAAATTTATTATCTCTTTCTTCACAATATGGAAATGTTTTTGACCAACCTCCATTTATCAGTAACTTCGTCCTTGTGAGCTGCCAAAATTCCCGCTAATCCACTCTGATATTTATGTTTGCCAAAGCTTCATTATCTCTGACATGCCTTTGGACATTGGACTTGTTTACTTAGCCTGATGACCTCCTTGTTAGTGCACAACAAGTCAGTGAATTTATGGAGCAGCCAAAAGTCAAAATACAGTCTATAAGACAATAGATATACAATTATGGACAACCTGTATAATTTATCTATTGCTGTTGCTGTAGGAGGCATGGGTTTAAGATCTAGTAATGTTAGTTTCATCCTTAAATTAAACCACTAAGCAATAACAAGCATTAAAACTTAACGCATCTAAATCCTGCACACAATTTTCATCAGCATGAATTTTCTTTGAGTTTCATTTTAATATTTATCTTCTGTACTTTTAGGACTGGCAGCAATGATGCCAGCATCAACAATAGAAGCCACAGTGCCATCTAATACAAAGACTCATATTACAAATCAAACATTGCTTAGATTTTTAATATTTAACTTAGAAATAAGTTTTCTGCAGCTCAGGGCATCCTGCGACAATGTATAATACAATATTATATATTATATAAAATTTTATTATCTATATGAGTAGTTTCATGGCCAAATCAGATCTGTTTATTCAATATTTCATGTCAGATTTAGCAGATAAAAGATCTGGAGATAATTCAAAGTGTTAAACTTGTAATTTGGTAGCTTTTTCTTGTATCTTATGACCATCATCAGGGTGAAAAATAAAACAAACCTGCTGCACACTAAATGCCAAAAAGCCTGGAAGACAATTGTTAAGAAACTACAATCTCAATGAAGCAGATATATTATTTTTAAAGTCTGCAATCAAGCTAAACCTTCCTGAGCGTAAAAACAGAGTTTACAAAGTGCTAACAACTGGTTACACTTGGAACAAAAATGGCTGAGTAGACTTTGCCAGAAAACATGTAAAAGAGCATGCACAGGAAACAAATCTTTGGACAGATTAAACTAAATTTAACTTGACTTAATTAGTTTTTCAGTTTCCAAAGACAAAACTGACGGCTGAAAAACCCACAAACAAGCAGCAAGTGAATGTGGCTGCTATAAAGGCCTTGAAGAGCATCTAAAGCCAGGAAACACAACATCGGATGATGTTCATGGGTTCTGGATTCCAGACACTAAAGAATTTTAATCCTGTTATCATATTAAAACAATCCTTATATTAGTTTGATAAACTTCCTTTGAGCCTCTGAAAGTGGGAGACTGTAAACAAAGCTGTAAGTCCTACTTTGGTCACCAGTTGCATTACAGTTTGGTCCAAACTAAAATATCTTACGCACTTTATAGCATTATTGTGTCCTATTTAATTCCAGCCAGTGCTAAGTTACATGTAAGAAATGCAAATTTACTGTTGAATTTATATATTTTTTATTTTTTAGTGGAAATGCAGAAGGTCACTAACACTAAGAATCGGGCCTTCAAGAGGTTCTCTTTAGTTCCCAACAAAAATATCAAAAATAGAGGTGATTGGTGAGTTGTTTTTCTACCAGAGCTGATATTCTGCAGTCATTTACAGATCAAGTCTCTGTACTTTCACTTTGATTTTGGACGCATGAAAGGCAGAAGTAGTTTTATTGACTTTTATTGACAGTTAGTATTTGTTTGGCTGAAGAACGACCTGCACTGCAAAAGTCCACGTGAGTGCATGTTTTTCCCTAATTTTATTATCAAAGCACTTGTTTGCTCCTGCATGTGCTCCTTGGACTTGTTTACTTACACTCATTGATCGTTTGAACATTTGAACTGTACATAGCAACACAATTTTCATGGCAATGCCATTTCTGTATTGTAAATACATGAAGATTTAATAGATGTGTGCGTTAAACAGCTCTATGGTAATCTAAAAACACTTTTATGTGTTTTGTCATGTTTGATCTAAACAAATAAAACAAACACAGCTATCAGTGTTCTTACACAGTGTGTGTTCATCTGTGAGTTTCACGGATTGCACCACTGTCGGGCATCTGTCAAAAAGGAACTACTCACATAAACAATAAAAATCCCAGAGTCTTCTGTGTATATGGTATAGGTCCATTTATATATTTATACTGCTATCCAGCTAATGTACATATTTATTTAAGTATTCATAAAATTACACAAATAGTACTTGAACGATCTGATTATTTTTTTAAAAAGCCAAAACAAGGAAAAAAAACTGCATTTATCAGTTTTGGCCAGTAGAGGGCGACATCTAAAACACCACCTTTTAGATTAAGTTGAAATACTTAAGTAGAGATGCAGTGTTTTCAGATTTAATGGAGAAGTGTGGACTTCTCTGTCAATTGCACTTTGTGACGCAGTGCTGATGGTGATATTTTGGGAAAAAAAAAAAAGCTTCTTCTTTTTTCTTTTTTTTTTTTACATTTTATTGTCATGCACAGAAGTCACTGACTAGAAAAACATTTATAGCACAAGTTGATGAATTGTCAATTTATTGTTCATCTTTACAATAAATTTACAATTAGAAATTCGTAAAAAAAAAATTATTTTTTATATTTATGCTCACCAGTTTTTGTTCTCAATGTTGTTCATGGATTAACCAACATGTAACTTAATCACAGCGACCAGTGTAACGCTTTCATATGATCATCGTAAAAGGGTTTAAAAAAAATCATCAAATATTCTTTATGATGGACATAAAAACAAAGTAGTTTTTTTGACCAGATTTTTGACTTTGTAATTTTCTAATTAGTGACACGTCATGAGTTTATTTTCTATCAGTACTCTATCTATGATCTCAAATTCCAGTGCGCTCCAGTTCAACACATTCCCTGGCGTGAAGTTTAGTTCATCCACATAGTTTTGAATTTCACAGGAGGAAAGGATGTGATCCCACAAGTGGACGTCAGACATCATGCCAACGAAAGACTGCTTAATGTCAAATCCGCCACCGTGGGAATCTTGCTCCTGTAAAGAATGCAGTGTTTGAGATACAATAGATTAAAACTACATTGTACATTATAGTACATATAGTACATTATTAGTATATACAGCGTCTGACTGACTCTAAATAAGTATTTATAATTTATCAATAAAACATGTACCTGTCCTAAAATTATTATAACAGGTCCTACGATGTTTGTTCCAGTGCTGACAAATTTCCTAATCGAAGGTAGCCCATTAAACCAAATCTGCACCAGTCCAGACTCAGAGTCCCACGTGCTGCAGATAGAGTGCCACATGTTTGGCTTGTAGTCTCGTCCTCCAAATTCAGCTTTCCTGTCCTTGATATGGGGCTCAATCTCTTTATTTGTACCATCCCAGAAGATCAGGAAGTCATTGGAATGAACAGGTGTAGCCATAGAGAACAAAACGTGGTCTCTTTTAAGGTCTGTAAATGATCTGTAGGCATGGCAAAGGATGACTTATTTCACAGTCAGAGATACAGTTGCTTCTTATAGGAAATGTTTACATATTCATTGCTACCTGTGACAGAGTGTTAAAGAACTTAAATCCAATCTCGATGCATTCAGCCTCACATGAGCTCTGTTGGATTCCAGTGGGAAAGTGAACATTTTACCAGACAAATCTGAGAAGAGAGAAAGAGGAGGAAACTTTTCAAGTGGCTTTCCTTTTTTTATGAAAAAGGAAAATGCAGGCAATTATGAACACAGAGAAGCATATGCGCGGGGTCCTGCCAACACTCAGATTTAACAAGAAATTAATACGATTAATAAGAAAACTTAAAAAGAAGGAAATACTATATTTTTCTCAAAGGTTTTCAATGAGTCAAATTCACATGAAGCCAGAAAGAAACAACATTAAAAATACAAATTTTAAATTTATGTAAATCCTTTTTGTTTCTCAGTCTTGTTACAAAGATTGGCTAGAAATTTTAATAACATTATTAAAAAACAAAGTATCATTAAAAGTGAATAAGAAATTACATGAACATCGTAGAAATCTGCTGTTGTATTCACTTTGTTCAGAAAAAAAACAAAACAAAATACCTTGAGGTCTTGCAGCACATGCTGTCAGCATCACCAGTACAGGGAACAGCTTCATCTAATACAAGGCAAAAAAATCACAGCACAAATTATACTTAATTATATAAATGGAACTTTTTTGAATTATTCTCAAGACTAGTGATACCAGTTTACTGCTTGTTTTGGATTCTTACAATAAACAATAGAAGCGTAAATTATCTACTTCACCTGTATTGCTCGTTGTAAAAACAAAAATGAAAGAATGAAGTTTACGCTCTTACACATGCCAGTTTTGAATGTCTCAACTTACCTTGAAATCTGTGTCTGGTACTGTCTGTGCAGCAGTTGTGAATGTTGTGAAAGTTTGAGTTTTATATACTTCTTCCCCATTTCTGGCGGTTTCTCTGTGTCAGTGTGTTCACTTCCTTCATCCACTTCTTCTTTTTTCATACTTTTTTCTTTTTTCCTGTAATCTGCAGTATGCTGATAATTCTACAGAGCTGAAGGTCAGTTCAGTTGAAACTTTCCTTGGTTTGTACTAATACTCAACTAAACCATGAACTGAGTATGAACGGGAGACTAATGAGCTCAAAACGTTTGACTAAGGGAAATAAAACAGTGAGATATGAAATTATTATGGAAAATTCTCAAAGTGATGCCTAAGAGTTGTAGCTGATGCTACACTGTATAGCTAACAACACAATAAGGCCACATTTTTGGGGGCATATATATTAAAAAATCTAATGGCATACAGGACCACAGCTATTACTTGCTTATATAAGCTACTTGTTCTTTCATCTTCCTCACTGTTTGATGGCGTGATTGTGGACAGAAGAGGGACGCCTGCTGTAGTTCTCTGTCTTGCTGTTTTATAACATGTCCTTTGTTTGCATAGAGCTGTCATTGGTAAATTCAAAGTTAACATTGTACATGATAGTTAATGGTTATTCTGTATTACACTAAGGCATTTATAATGATAATAATAATGTAATGAACAATGGTACTGATAATAGTTCAGTTTTCAACATTCCAAAATATTAGACTAATGATCATGTAATTATTTCTGCTGTCATACAAAGAGTGAAATTGACTTCTCTTGTGCATTTTAAAGTACCTTGCATTTGATAAGCTAATGTTGTGGTGTAATTGCTAATGTTTAACTGCCTAAATTGATGTGTTTTAGTGGTTTTTTAATTACATAGCAATAACAAGTGTGGATGAGGCCAGTGCAGACACTAATGTTACCTGTCTGTAATCAGTAAAAGCAGGTCTGAGATGTGACGCTGATCCTCAGAGCTCTCCAATGGCATAAGCAACTGATTGTGACAACAAGGAAAGGCGATGCAGGGGCCAGGGGGTGTACGGCATTGCAGAATTATAAAAACACAATTGTTGGGCATTATATGCTTTCAATTAGGAATTGATGCCATGGGACAACTTTGAAATTAAAATGTAAAATTATAAAATAGACACACGTGGGGGAAAAAACCTTCCTGCCCAAAGGGTCAGGTGCTTGAGCACCACCTGGGGTCTATCTGTGCATGTGCCTGTTCAGCACTCTTTCTAAAGTCTGGAACTCCAGTGCCCTCCAGCTGATGGTATTCCCAGGTATGTAGCTATTTTCTTGTGGATGTCACAATAAAACAAACAAAAACACACAATCCCTCACATGGACATCACACATCAGTACCAACAAGCACTTGCTTTATTTCTAGCATCTTGCAAAACAGAAGGTAATTGGTGTTTTGAGTATTTACTTGGAAAGCATCAAATAAGTGTTAAGTGTTGATGTCATGGTCCTGAATCTTTGACCCAGCATTTTGATTTTTATTGTGCATTTTTACCTTAAGAAGATGATTTAAGTTTGAGCTTTGTGCGGTTTACTCTTGAGTCTCTAGTCTTGTTTGACATTGTTAGGTTGCTTTTGGTGTTTTTTGTTTTGTCCTCATCGACTTCTGTGAAAGTCGGCCTCGTCTCCGTGTTTACCTATGTTTCCCCATCTCTCTGTCTCTGTGTGTCCCTCTCTCCTTCTCTGTTCCTCAGCCCGGTCATATCCCACTGTCTAGTTCACATGTCTTAGTCTGGGTCTTAGTGTGTGTTACTTCCTGTCTTATTTTGAAAGTCTCTTGTCCTGCGTGTGTTATGTTTTGTTTTGCCTCTCCTGTGTATTTAAGTCCTCAGTTTCCTTCTGTTTCCTATCATGTCGTCAGTCTTCATGTCAGTCTTGCCGCTGAGTTTTCTCTGCGCTGTGTGCTCTGTTTCATTTCTTGTGTCTAGCTTAAAGTTCTGTGTATGTGGTTCATGTCTTGCCAGGGCAAGACTTTGTATTTTGTATTTTCATTTGTAACTCCCAGCAATAAAACTGCCTCTTAGTTTATATTTTGTCTCTGGAGTCCTTTAATTGCTTTATTACATGTTATCATTACCAGAGATAGCATTCCTTGGACTGTCCTTATTAGATGGTGTTATAAGGGCACTCCTTCATATCCTAACTGGCTCAAGTAAGTTGTTACCACTTCACCTGTTTATGGATAGGGCAAAAAGTTCAACTTTGACTGACACCACCAGTGGTGGCATAACTGATAAGGGCCATTTAAAAGGCAACTTCATGAGACCTGAAGGTTTTTATCTCAGTGTGATGGCTGCACTTACAGCCACACAGTGGTAATACCCACCATGTTAGTGTAGAGGCTTATAAGTAACATTGCATTCACATTTGTCTTTCTTTACATATAGGAATTATTTTACAGGACAATAAATAACTGGTTTTGGTTTAGAGTTAATTCACATATCCACATAACACTGCATTCTAAAATAAGTGCGCACATTTTAGTTTACACTGTTATGTATGATTAATCTTAGCTGTTACCTTAGTTGCAGCTGTTCCAGTCCCTTGATTAAGGAGCCAAGAGGTGGAAAAGGGGCGGAGCGAGCTTTAAAGGAAGACTACAAATTGGTTCATGCCATAACTCGGGACCATGGGGGGGAATTGGAGTTCATTATGTTAGGTTTAGGTTTTGTTTTTTGTGGGCTGATCAGCCACTATTTAAGTTTCCCCTTTGTCTCGTTAAGTTAGGTCAGTTTGTTTGAGTTATCAGTAGTGTTGTCAACTTTGAGTAGAGTTCTGTTATTTTGACCTCTTTTATGAGCCCAAGATTTTGATTCTTTTTGCATGAGTTAACCAATTATGTTTTTTGGGTTAAATAAATAATCTTTTTTTTAGACTTTAACCTGTGTCTTAAGTTTCCTTCACTGCGTGGTCCATCACATTCAGCAGGAGTCACAGGAATGGTGTATCCTTTACTTTGAATACATTCTTTCACATCTACGCCTGTACTTGTCATGATTAGATTTCATTTACAACTACTAATAAAATGACATTTACGTGTTTTTACTCACTTCAGGAAATGACTTGATGCAGCGCAACATCACGGGGCTATCTGAACTGTGATAACCCAACAATAGATTCTTTCAACAGACGACGGTGATGGAGGAGTCTTAAATTCCTCTTTCCTAGTGATGAGATCCAGCGGTGACTGGGGAGAAGGCTAGTTTTCAGGCCAAATGTTTCTGAGAGAACGCTATCTGATCAGCCAGAGGGATGAACCCTGGAGAGGGATCAGACCGAGACGACTAAACGAGACACAGCCAACTCAGCAGGGAAATCTCCCAAAGTTTGAGCTTCTGGATAGAAAGAGATATAGAAAGAGAGACAAGACAAGACAATCTTGGTCTGTTACACTGTTGTTTATTTTAAAGAGTATTTACAGCGGTTGCAATTAACATAATGGGTGTTTAACAAGAAAGAACAAAGGAAAAGCAGTGAGAACCAAATACGTAACTATAAATGCAATAAACATAACCCACTACACACTGCAAGTTCAGATTGATAGTATTTTTTTCTTTTTTCTTTATTTTTTATAAGGATGTCATAGAGGACACAACACAGAATCTCAGATTACATTATGCAACACTTCTGGAGGTACATGTGGAAAATATTGAGCTTCAATGGAGGCGAACACAAAGGCAAAGGAAAGCTGCTTTTACATGTACCACGTTTACAACACTGAACAGTTTTCTTGTAAACATATAATCCTGGCTCTATGACATGCCTTTGCGTCTGTGTTTATAATTCATTTGTACCTGCAGTGCCATTGCCTTATGTTAGGAGTAATTTTTTGCGTTCTTGCTCGGGATCAGTTCTCTCCCAGCCCTGTCGAATCCGGGTGAGAGTGCTGTCCACGCAGGGCAGGAGGAGAAGCAGCTTGAGCACTAACACCACAGAAGGCACCACCAGACTAAGCATGTAGCCAGGGAGCATAAACCATTTGTAGGATGAAGGCTGAAGAAACGTATCCCAGCCGTACAGGTAGGTGTGAAATGTACAGAAGAATAGTGTCAGGTAGCCCAGCTTAGACTGAAAGACAGTAAAACAATGAAACAGGTTCATTATGTTACATTTATTTTCAGAAAGCATTGATGTTATGATGTGCAGTCAGTTTCTTTCTGGCAGACTTGTTTGCATCTATGCATAAGGAACATGTCGTCTGTGTCGTCAGCATCTCTCTCGGAGGAGAGAGATGCTGAGGGATAAATGTGTATAAAATAAAAAAGAATAAAGATAAAAGACAATTTCTTTTCTTTTATATGAAGTCAAAAACTGCAGTGACAAGCTGACCTTAATAGAGACATAGCTCCATATGTGCAACGCATGCACTCTTTGACTTTGTGTACTCATATACATAAAGGTACACGTACATACTTGTGCACATTTAAATACATTATATACACATGAACAAAGCCTTAGGACTGAGGCCCAGGATAATATATGCGCCCAAATTACATCTGATGCATAACTTAACATTTAAATCTCTGCTCTAATTTGGGCTGGAGTAAAGGGAGGGGTGGAATAAGAATATGAGCTTGACATGACCCAGATACATTTATGAATGAGTTTGTTCCCCGTAGTGTGTCCCATTTCATTTTTGATTGGTCAGAGTGGGAACAAAGGTAAACATTATTTGTGTCTGTTTAAGTAAAGACAGAGTTAGAAAGAGAAGGAGGGAAATATAACTAACAGATTTCTGACAGTTTGTTTCCAGTGGGAACTTTAACACAGCTGTCTGGCCCATGTGTGTGTTTTCCTATCCACATTTGTTCTTGCCAGTCACAGTTTGTACCTTTGCAAATTAGACACAATGTGAAGAATTTACCAAGCAATTTTTCTGCCAGAATCCTTCCTTAAAGGCGCAGTAGCCTCTCTGTCAATTTTCACACTAACTGTTCCTCAGCAGCCTCGAGTATG